AGCGCAGTCATGGAACAGACAAAAATATCATCCTAGACAATTTCAACCCAAAGTCCATCAGCTTTGTAAACCCATCCTTTCTGGGAGAGTAAGGCAGCAGAGCCCAGGAGTTAAATGTATGAGCTTCGGAGTAAACTACCAGGTTCAAACCCAGGCTCCTGCACTCACTTGCTGTGAGACCTCCCAGCGATGTTGGGTAACTCCTCTGACCTCGGTCTCTCCCTGTGTTAAAGTAGAAATAAGAAAACCATCGACTTCACAGAGCTATTTGGGGGACTAAATTAGATATATAGAAACCATTGAAAACAATGTCTGGTACATCATAAGTACTCAGTGACACTGGCTAGTGTCATTTTTCTTGCACAAACAGAAAAAAAACTTTGGAAATAAATCACAAGTTATTTGTGCCTTGTAAAGCAAAGAACTTCAAGAATAAATGAATAAACTGAAAATAACTTTGGAAATATGTTGTGAGCTATATTATTTGTGCCTTATAAAACATGCCACTTTAAGAATAAATGACAGTAGCGTTTAATCTCTCTTGCTTTCCAATGAAATCATTTTCTTCACTTGTTAACAAGGGAACATAACATTTAATGAAGAAGTCCTGCTTATCTTTAAGAGGCAGAAAGATACAGCATGACAATGCTGAGATACCAATGGTCAACCAGGGTATATGACTAAACAAAAGTAGTTAGATGTAGAATCTTATATTCATTCATTCATTCACTTGGCCACCTCCTATTTCCAAGATAATATTTTTAATTTAGCTGTAAAACCAGATCCTACAGAGAGTTATGTATGACTTGTTAAATAGTTTCATCAATGTCACTTAACATCCAGTCAATGGGGTATCCAATAGTGGGACCTAGAATGAGGTCAGACTGTCCAAATGGCAATAATGATTATAATAACAAGGATTTATAGTGCTTGTTTGGGCAGTAAATGTTGTTGGGGGAACCAGGCCACTTACACAGTGCAAGAGGGGAGGGATCAGACTCCTCAGTTCAGCACTATCCCTATCGCCAGACACCTGTCCAGCTCCTAGTAGGTTCTTAATAAAAATTTAATGAAGAAAATGAATTCTCAGACTATAGTTTTTATATGGAAGTAAAAAAGTGCATTTTCAACTAGGACAATTAGAAACTGATTTAAAGACCCTGTCTGGGACAATTGGCCACGTCTGTAGACCCATAGTTGCAGGCAGGCTTGCTTTAGGAGTCGAGGAGGGGCGATTTTGAACAAACTCTATGAGAAGACCAAGATGTTAAGAGTTTTAAGTGACAAGCTCTGAAAATAATATCTAAATCTACCAATAAGGGAAGAAATTTTAATATCTTTTCTGGAACTTTCAGTTTTTTCAGCTGTACCTTTGCACAGGCTACCAATATTCAAGACAGGAATACCTGGCTGAACAGAGCTCTTGCTATGCAGTTCGTGAGCCCAGCCTGGCTGTGGGAGAAGAACAGGTGCCTACAGTGCCTGAGATCCTGCGGATATTGATAATGGGAAGGCGAGGACAGCTGCCTCTAAGGGCTCCCTTCCTCAGCTTATTGGAAGCAATTCCCCAGTGCAGGGCCTACAGTCTCCCAAACCACCCCCTTATTGGAGGGCCCTACTGCTCTCCTTCTCAGAGCCATTGCCAGCAGTCTGCTGCCTGTGTCCTCTCCGCAGCATTCCTTTAGCCCTCCCAGATCCCGTGTCATCTGCAGACATTCCAAGATTTAAGATGAAGCCTTTCCTCTTCAAAATTATTTAGGAAAAATTCTTCCCCTTCAGAAGATATTAAGCAGCAGGTCAGTATGTCTGTTTAAGGAGTTGCTAATTCTTGCCAGGCCCTATGCTAAGTCTTTAATATTTTACATTTCTTATTGCCTTTAATTTTTACAAAAACCTTGTGTAGTGGTAAACGCCATCACCTTTATTTTATCAGTGAAGACAGTGAGGATCAGAAAGGTTAAGTGTCTTGCCTTGGGTCACAGAGTTAACAAATGACGGAGCTGGGGTTGAAACACAGACCAATTAGACCCCATAGCCCTTCTCACACTTTCTGACTTATATCCATCACTGTGGGGCCTGGGTAGGGTAAAAAGTGTCCCAGGCTCTTCTTCTGCATAAGAACTGCCTTTTAAGGCATTTGTTTGGCTTTAGGAGTCAATTTCCTTTTCTCAGACACCCAGAAAGAATGAAAGATAATTGGCTCTGTTCAAAAATAAAAACTTAATTTCTATGTTAGGTTTGACTTCTTAAAAGTGCCTGGTCACTGCCCTTCTCCTTTTTTTCCCTTCCCTCTCCATGTCCTTTCAACATTCTATTGTCTCTCTGTCTTCCTCTCTCCCTCTCTCTCCCTTGCATCATCTGTCTATCTAATAACAGTATAGTACCCATAATCCAGACTTTGGTCCCTTTTCCTCCATTTCTGCAGGGCCTTGGACAAATTCTGACCCATGTTTCTGTATGAGAACTTTTCTCTAGGTGACCTCTCAGATCCTTCTAGATTAAACTCTGAGTATGACTAAGTCTACCTTTACACAAACAGACCCCATCATTGGTGTTTCTTTTCAAAAGAACTTCATTGAAATAGAAACATAAATTCAAACTGGCATCTAGATTTTTCAGAGAAAACCAATGCAAAAATAAGTTATCTATCACACAACAAAATAAATACTCCAAATTGGTCTGATTAACAACCAGGAAGAGGTCTGTCTTATATATATATATATTAGAAAACAAATCCAACATTTAGCTCCCTCTGAGATAATTGTTTTGCTCTTCCCTGGAACCAGTTTTTATATCCTGAGAAAAGAGTTATAACTCAAATAAATAGCAGGAGCAAATTAACTGCCAAGAGCTGTCTTCTCAGTGATGCTGTTGATAGCCATGGTAAGATGATTATAAATCTATTAGAAGTGAGACATCACTGATTTGTTGTTTTAAAGATTTGAGGTATGAGATTCTCATTAAACTAAGAAAATGCTTTAAATGGGCCATTCCACCATAAAATGTAATTTGATTTGAAGCCCTAAAAAGTATCCTAATGCACAACAGTCCCTTTTTCAACTATAATTCTTTCTTTTCCTCGTGTATTATCAGAGCCTGGATAGGAACTGGAAAAGATTAACATTGAGAAGCTGAATCATCATTTTATATTTTTACAATTAGGAAGAAAAAAAGATGCAGAATTTCCGTAGTAGATGAGCAGGGAAATAATTTTTTTTTTTTTTTTTTTTTTGCTGAGGAAGTTTAGCCCTGAGCTAACATCTGTTGTCAATACTCCCCATTTGTCCCTTCAGGAAGATTAACCCTGAGCTAACATCTGTGCCAGTCTTCCTCTATTTTATATGTGGGTTGCCTCTCAGTATGGCTGATGAATTGCGTAGGATCGCACCCAGGATCTGAACCTGTGAACCTAGGCTGCCAAAGTGGAGTGCATGAACTTAGCCACTAAGCCACAGGGCTGGCCCCTGGAAACTTAATTTTATTTGGAGTCTAGATTACCACCATTCTAAATAAGTTCCCTTGCTTGTTACAGCTTTTTCCTTAATAAAAATGAGTTAGCTATTTAGTAAATTGAATGATATTATCATTTCTATGGAGTAAAAGGTTTATGATATCCATTATCACTGTTTTATATACATGATTGTCTTCCTCTGCTCAGTGAAACTTGATAAGGAAGTTGAATTAGCCACCTTCGTGATTGTGTCAAGCTTAAACAAAGGTGTTTCTCTGTAACTCAGAGCTATGTTAGTCAGTGGCTTTTCTCAGTGGTCATTTGTTCTTCCATATTGTCACCGTGAACTGTCTATACATTGCCCTTTGATTTGCTCCAAACTGCAAGAGCCGATGAGAATTCTGCAGTAGGCCCATGAGTTCTCTGCATTTCTCATTACTCTTTCCTAATTCTTTGTTCTTTTCTCTCTTTTTCTATTGCCTCTCTCAGAAGCCTGTGTTAGTTGAGACCTCTTTATGAGGCTCCCTTTATATTAAGGAGCCTTTGATTTTGCAAGCACACATCTGTCTTGTGCCGTATTCACTCAAGACTGTGTTCTTGGTTATGTCTGCTGATAAAATTATTTCTACAAAAATGCTACCTGACTCGGTCACTTAGTGGACTACTTCACCATAATATCTTAATTTTAATTGAGTCCACAGGTGTTATAACCTTAAAAGTGTTACCACTTGTGGAAATCTCATACCATATTAGAGTTAAAATCATTCTGGAGGGGAGGAGACTGGAGTACCTCTCAAATCCTGAAATTGTTTATGAAGGAATTCTTAGTGAAATTCATAACTCAAGTCCAAGGCCACTCTGGAGACATTCATTGAGACAGTTTGCAGGAATTTGGAAGCACTGTGCTTCCTTAGGGTGGCTTGCTTGCTGTTATCTTGTCCACCCTGACTCCACCCCAGTGATGGGGCAGTACAACTTCGAATTCACTTGCTTCTCAAGGCTCAATATCTCTTCTTTCTATTGGATGCCAAGGTGTAAAGTCAGTCTAAATTTACAGTCCCTTTAGTCCCAGATTTAGAGATGTTGCCATGAAGATTGGTTGCAGGTTCAGGCTGTATCAAACTTGCAGCAACCAAGGAGTTCCTCCAGTATTTCTTTGTGAACTACTTCCCCCTCTGGAGATTTCCAGAATTTGCTTTTAAATTCTATATTTTCTTCTTAAATATATTTTCCTTTACATTTCTACTTGAAATTAGAAGTCTGTATTCCTTGTCAAAATCATAACTATCAATAAAATACAATCAATATGGTATTATCTTCTACAAGTGTTCAGCAATTATTATCTTTTATATGCAAAATATTCTGTAAATCTTAAACAAATATTTATTCTGATTATAAATGTTTCTTGGGGTACTTTTTTCCTACTATTTTATTTACATGTTAATACATGTTAGTGTTGATTTCATTTTACAAACTACCATTTCTAACATGGTTAATAATATTTAAAAACTATCCACTTATAAATGTACTCTTTTTTAAATCATTTCAGGTGGAGGAGGCCCTGGAAGCTGTCAAAAATGCTACAAATGAACAAGACCTTGCAAATCGCTTTAAAGAATTTGGGAAAGAAATGGTGAAACTTAATTATGTAGCTGCAAGAAGACAACAGGTGGGAAAGTTTTGGGAAATGCTAGGGGGGAGAATGAATGAGTTTAAGTAACCTGGTAGCTTTGTCGGCTTGAACAATGGGTCAGCTTCCTCTGCTGGCTGTCAACTTACCAAATAGCCTAAGAACCTGTGATCACAAAGGCTGCTTCCTATTTGGGCCAGGTCTGATACCACTGTGGGCCGTGGGGTACTCTCTGGCCCCTGCAAACTTAAACAGATCACAGGCCCCCTGCTTCACTGGTGGGAACCACCCGGCCAGTCCCACCACACTAACGTTTTCTCCACTGTAGGAAAAGCTCCTGAGTCAAGTGGAAAATATCAAACTGTGGGCCATCCTCCATGTCCTAGCAGTTAAGTTCAGTGCTGTCTGCTTTGGTGGCCCAGGTTCAGTTCCCAGGAGAGGACCTACACTGCTTATCTGTGGCTATACTGTGGCAGCAGCTCACATACAAAATAGAGGAAGATTGGCAACAGCTACTAGCTCAGGGCAAACCTTTAGTAAAAAAGAAAAAAAATTAAACCGTAGTCTGGTGCTGTGATCAGTCTCTGGGCACCAGCCTTTGCCCTTGCTTTTTATGTCCTAGCCCCGTGGACATCACCATGCATATGCACACCCAAGATGAGCAGCATGTAGAGTGAAATGTTTGTGAAAAAGAGGAAGACACTTCAAAGAAAATTAGAAGAAGGGCAGAAAGAGAGAGAAATGAAGGTGGGGAGGGAGAGCACAGGTGAGTGTGGGGCACTTTCATGAAGGTGGCTGACCTGGAATCTTCCCGCCTTCCTTTGTTTGGAGACAGCACCCTCCATGTTAGCCAGCTCTGTTTATTTGTTAGGTACCATAAGAATTTTGTTCTCAAAGAGTGTGTGTGTGTGTGTGTTTTTTCTTGGTGAGGAAGATTGGCCCTGAGCCAACACCTGTTGCCAATCTTCCACTTTTTGCTTGAGAAAGATTGTCCCTGAGCTAACATCTGTACCTATAGAATATTCCTCTATTTTTTATGTGGGACACCACCTCAGCATGGCTTGATAAGAAGTGCATAGGTCTTTACCTGGGATCCGAACCCACTAACCCCAGGCTGCCGAAGCAGAGAACGCAAAGTTAACCACTACACCACCGGGTTGACCCCCCGAAGAGTGTGTTCTTATTCATTTTCCCAAGAAAAAGCTTCTCCAAATGTGGAGGAGTCAGTTAAAATCCTTTCACCTGTCCTCTGGACTGTTCCCAGAATTCTTCAACATTTGGAGCAATTCTTAGTGACTTTTTCTTTGGTTCGCTATGACTGACAGGAAGGTTCCAGTCAACAAACATTTGTTGAGTATTCATCTGTACTAGGCTGAAGTGATGCTGATATTATAAAGTTGACCAATATCTAGCTCCTTCCCCTAAAGAGCTTCCAATATCCTTTGTGTGACAGGTACACACGCATGATTTTAGTTTATCTGATGATTTTTAAGTATTTCGTCATCAGCAGAATTCTTTGTTCAAGTGGAATCTCGTGTGGTTGCCCAAAATGTAATATGGGTCAGAGCGAAGATACTCTGAAGCACAGCTGGGAGACCCAAGGCCACTTAGCTTGTTTAAACAACTGGAGAAAAAACCCGAAACAGTGAATTTCCATCTCAGTGAACCATCGGGGAGGTTGGGAAGAAAGGCAGGGCCAGGACATTCACAGTCTTGCAGTGTCTGCATTTTATTGAAAGTCAATAGATAGTATTTGAACAGTCCAAAGTTTGATATCAATGTCTCTGATTTACGTTTTAATATTATTCTATTTATGTTGCAAAAAAGGTAGTAGAGTGGAGGAGGAGAGACTAGTTGTAGTTGGGAGGGGCCTGAAGTAATCTAGATGAGAGATAGTGGTGGTCCCCATTAGTGTGGTAGCAGTGGAAATGGAGAAAAGTATAAGGAGTCAAAGTTTGTTTTGAAAAGAGAACACTCAGGACCTGCCAGTGAATTAATTGGATGTGTGAAGTTATGGAATGACAGCAACCAGTTTACTTCTGAGGTTTTGGTGTGAGCAAATGGGTAGATGGTGGTGAACTTAGATGCGGAATACTGGAAAGAGGCCAGCTGGGGTTAGAAATCAAGATTTCATATTTAGAGACATTGATTTTGAGATGCTTACAAGATATCCATGTAGAATGTCCAGTAGAAGAGAGTTGTGGGTTGGAGATCAAAACACAAGTGATTGGCATGTAGCTGGTATTGAAATCCATGGGAATACATGAGATATTTATATGAGAAGACCCATAAATATAATTTATTTTTATTTCATGAATATTTTGTTTATAATTAATTGCTGGTTCAGACTCTTTCAAGAAAATTTAGAAAAAGAAGCAGAATTTACAGAAAAAAAAAATGCCGCGTAACACCCTACTACCCACAAAACAATGGTGCTGATATTTTGTTATTTTGGCTTTCGGTATTTATCTTCATACATTAAGATATTTACAATTATACTATGCATAAAAGTGTTCATATTGTCTACCCTCTTATTTATTTTATAAATATTAGCTGTGTTATTACTTTTCTGGAAATGAGTTTTGATATTCACATAGTCCATTAAGTAAATGCTTCAGTAGTTTACTTAACCAGTTCTTCATAATTCAACATTTAGATTGTTTGGAATTTTTTTTCAAGCGATTGAAGAATATTTCCTCACATATCTTTATGGAGAGACTTTCCCACCCCTGTCCCCCAGCTCCCCAAATCTCCTACTTACATATTTAGATGATTTTTTTTTTTAAGTCTAGATACCCCAGAATAGAATATGGAGTTTTTGGTCCACGTATTCTGGAGGTTAATAAGGCCCTTCGTGACTAGTGGGGAGAAATCTTCTAACTGCACTGCCTGGATTATCAGCCAGCATAAAGAATACACTCACGTGTTTGTTACCTATTTATCTGTGTTCATCCTTAGGGCTAAAAATAAATAATACCAATTTAGAAATTGTGTTGGCTGGCATAAATCTGTTAGTACTTAAGCAAAGGAGTATAAATGGTTCATTTGTTTATTACTTATTGTCCATTTGTCCTGATAATCTTAGATAGCACATGTAATGTGCTAGTCTCAGAATTATTTTGACACAAAAGAGAAGATGTAATTCACTGTTTCCAGGTCATCTATGTTTCATGTACCAAATGAGCAAATAGGAATAGAACCCCAGTAGTTCAAATATCTTTTAATGATCTTTTGAGCTGGAAAAATATTCTCCCGGAGATTCTCAGCTGGCAATCCTACATGGCTCTTAGAGAGCAGCACTGCCTTTAACATTTCCAAAAATGATATGAACATTTTCTTAACAGTACTCTTAAAGCTGAAAATAGAGACTCCCCAGTGGCGATTTTTGACATCCAAAACTAGGAAACCAAGTCATCTTTGACATATTATTTTTTATTCCCTAAACTCAATGATTGAGCTGGCATTAAAAGGTACTTTTTAGAAAAATGAACCCTATTCTGAAAATGATGATGAAGTGGCAATAAGGGACTAATCAAAAATCAACAGAAATTGTTTCCTGTGTTTGTAATTATAATTGAAAATGGAGACAAGCAGAGTATCAGAAGACTGAAGTTTGGGTTTGCTGTCTGCTGATAGCTATGTCTGATCCATGCCAGCCACTTACCTTGTGGTGCCTTGGTTTTTGCATTCTTTCCACAATATTACTGAATGCCTTTTTATGGGCCAGACATGGTGCTAATTATCAAAGAGCCACTGAACAAGGTTGACAGGGCTCCCTGCTCTCATTGGACATACAGTATAGGAGGGAAACTTACACTTAGATAAGGAAATACAATAAAGTATGATGAAGGTTAATGATAGGAGGGAATGGGGTCTGTAGGAGTGGAGAGAAAGAGACATAGCTTGAAGAGTTGGTTGGAAAGTGGGTTCTCAGAGGATCAAGTCATGCCACGTGAAAGGATAGGGTGAAGGAGAGATGTTCAGATATTTCACACAGAAGGAACAGTATATGCAAAGTCCTGGCAGCTAGAGAGAGCACAAGGGAGAGTAGATAGTTTCTAAAATTCAATGTGATTGTAAGAGTCTGTGACTCTAAGTTCTGTTACAAACGCTTCCATGGCAAACATCATGGATGTGACAGGTTTCATGGTTTGCACACACAGGAGCTGAAGGACCCTCACTGTCGGGATGAGATGGCAGCCGCCCGAGGGGCTCTGAAGAAGAATGCCACAATGCTGTACACGGCCTCCCAAGCATTTCTCCGCCACCCCGATGTTGCCGCCACAAGAGCCAACCGAGACTATGTGTTCAAACAAGTCCAGGAGGCCATTGCTGGCATCTCCAATGCTGCTCAAGCTACCTCGCCCACTGACGAAGCCAAAGGCCACACGGGCATCGGCGAGCTGGCTGCGGCTCTGAATGAATTTGATGTAAGCATCCAGGTGATGTACACAGAGGGCTATATGCTTTCATTGAAAAAAATGTATTGGGGATGGAGGGCCATCAAGATAGTATACAATGATTTACCCCTCTTGGAGCCTTTTGATAGTAGGATAAACTACATAATGTATTTCTTTTATTAGGAATCCAACATTTTGGCAGAGCCTAATCTACTTATCTTTAAAGGAACTAACAACTATGTTTAAGGGGGCCAGGTCCTACACAAGTAGAAGCCCTGTACACTGTTAACTTCCTACCCCACAGGCTATTTTAGGGAAAGTTCATCATTTGGATGATCATCTTTATTATGAAAGGGACAAATGTCATGGGCAGCTTAGGTGTAGACTGCATCTATATCGTGCCTGGGTAAAGAACTGCCCTTAGTTTCTTTATTTTAAATCAGTGGTAAACAGACTCGGCTTTCTGGTACCATGTGATATCTTTTTTTTTTATTAAGATTATGATAGATTACAACCTTGTGAGATTTCAGTTGTACATTATTGTTAGTCATGTTGTGGGTACACCACTTCACCATTTGTGCCCTCCCCCCACACCCCCTTTTCCCTGGTAACCACCGATCAGTTCTCCTTGTCTATATGTTAACTTCCACCTATAAGTGGAGTCATATAGAGTTCGTCTTTCTCTGTCTGGCTTATTTCGCTTAACATGATACCCTCAAGGTCCATCCATGTTGATGCGAATGGAACAATTTGGTCCTTTTTTATGGCTGAGTAGTATTCCGTTGTGTATATATACCATATCTTCTTTATCCAGTCATCAGTTTCTGGGCATTTAGGTTGGTTCCACGTCTTGGCTATTGTAAATAATGCTGTGGTGAACATAGGGGTGCATGGGACTCTTGGGATTGCTGATTTCAGGTTCTTAGGATAGAAACCCAGTAGTGGAATGGCTGGGTCATAAGGTATTTTTATTTTTAACTTTTTGAGGAATCTCCATACTGTTTTCCATAGTGGCTGCACTAGTTTCCATTCCCACCAACAGTGTATGAGGGTTCCTTTTTCTCCACAACCTCTCCAACATTTGTCACTCTTGGTTTTGTATGTTTTTGCCAATCTAACAGGTGTAAGGTGATATCTTAGTGTAGTTTTGATTTGCATTTCCCTGATGATTAGTGATGATGAACATCTTTTTATGTGTCTATTGGCCATACTTATATCTTCTTTGGAGAAGTGTCTGTTCATGTCCTCTGCCCATATTTTGATTGAGTTGTTTGTTTTTTTGTTGTTAAGCTGTGTGAGTTCTTTGTATATTATGGAGATTAATCCTTTGTCGGAAAAGTAGGTTGTAAATATTTCTTCCCAATTAGTGGGCATTTTTTTGTTTCAATCCTGTTTTCCCTTGCCTTGAAGAAGCTCTTTAGTCTGATGAAGTACCATTTGTTTATTCTTTCTATTGTTTCCCTCATCTGAGGAGTTATAGTGTCCGAAAAGATTCTTTTGAAACTGATGTCAAAGAGTGTACTGCCTATATTCTCTTCTAGAAGACTTATTGTTTTAGGCCTAATCTTTAGGTCTTTGATCCATTTTGAGTTTATTTTTGTGAATGGTGAAAAAGAAAGGTCAATTTTCATTATTTTACATGTGGCTGTCCAGTTTTCCCAGCAGCATTTGTTGAAGAGACTTTCTTTTCTCCACTGTAGGCCTTCAGCTCCTTTGTCAAAGATTAGCTGTCCATAGATGTGTGGTTTTATCTCTGGGCTTTCAATTCTGTTCCATTGATCTGTGGACCTGTTTTTGTACCAGTACCATGCTGTTTTGATCACTGTAGCTTTGTAGTATGTTTTGAAGTCGGGGATTGTGATGCCACCGGCTTTGTTTTTCTTACTCAGAATTACTTTAGCAATTCACGGTCTTTTGTTGCCCCGTATGAATTTTAGGGTTCTTTGTTCAATTTCTGTAAAGAATGTCCTTGGGATTCTGATTGGGATAGCGTTGAACCTGTAGATTGCTTTAGGTAGTATGGACATTTTAACTATGTTTATTCTTCCAATCCATGTGCATGGAATGTCTTTCCATCTCTTTATGTCGTCGTCAATTTCTTTCAAGAAAGTCTTGTAGTTTTCATTGTATAGATCTTTCACTTCCTTGGTTAAATTTATCCCAAGGTATTTTATTCTTTTTGTCGCGATTGTGAATGGGATTGAGTTCTTGAGTTCTTTTTCTGTTAGTTCATTGATAGTGTATAGAAATGCTACTGTTTTATGCATGTTGATTTTATACCCTGCAACTTTGCTGTAGCTGTTGATTATTTCTAATAGTTTTCCTAAGGATTCTTTGGGGTTTTCTATATATAAGATCATGTCGTCTGCAAACAGTGAGAGTTTTACTTCTTCATTGCCTATTTGGATTCCTTTTAATTCTTTTTCCTGCTGAATTGCTCTGGCCAACCCCCCCCCCAATCCTATGTTGAATAGGAGTGGTGAACGTGGGCACCCTTGTCTTGTTCCTGTCCTCAGAGGGATGGCTTTCAGTTTTTGTCCATGGAGTATGATGTTGGCTGTGGGTTTGTCATATATGGCTTTATTATGTTGAGGTACTTTCCTTGTATACTCATTTTATTGAGAGTTTTTATTATAAATGGGTGTTGGATCTTGTCGAATGCTTTCTCTGCATCTATTGAGATGATCGTGTGGTTTTTTGCTTCTCATTTTGTTAATGTAGTGTATCATGTTGATTGACTTGTGGATGTTGAACCATCCCTGTGTCCCTGGTATAAATCCCACTTGATCATGGTGTATAATCTTTTTGATGTATTGCTGTATTCGGTTTGCCAGAATTTTGTTGAGGATTTTTGCATCTATGTTCATCAGTGATATCAACCTTTAGTTCTCCTTCTTTGTGTTGTCCTTGTCAGGTTTGGGGATCAGAGTGATGTTGGCTTCATAGAATGTGTTAGGGAGTACTCCATCTTCCTCAATTTTCTGGAATAGTTTGAGAAGAATAGGTATTAAGTCTTCTTTGAATGTTTGGTAGAATTCTCCAGAGAAGCCGTCTGGTCCTGGACTCTTATTTTGGGGGAGGTTTTTGATTACTGTTTCTATTTCTTCACTTGTGATTGGCCTATTCAGATTCTCCATTTCTTCCTGGTTCAGTTTGGGGAGGTTGTAACAGTCTAGGAATTTGTCCATTTCTTCTAGGTTGTTCAATTTGTTGGCATATAGTTTTTCATAGTATTCTCTTATGATCCCTTGTATTTCTTTGGTATCTGTTGTGATTTCTCCTCTCTCATTCCTAATTTTATTTATTTGAGATTTCTCTCTTCTTTTCTTGGTGAGTCTGGCTAAGGGTTTGTCGATTTTGTTAATTTTTTCCAAGAACCAACTCTTTGTTCCATTGACCCTTTCTACTGTCTTTTTTGTTTCAATATCATTTATTTCTGCTCTTATTTTTATTATTTCCCTCCTTCTACTGACTCTGGGCTTTGTTTGATCTTCTTTTTCTAATTCTGTTAGGTGTCATTTGAGTTTGCTTATGTGAGCTTTTTCTTGTTCAGTGAGGTGAGCCTGTATTGCAATGAATTTCCCTCTTAGGACTGCCTTTGCTGCATCCCAAATTATTTGGTATGATGTGTTCTCATTTTCATTTGTCTCCAGATAATATCTGATTTCTTCTTTAATTTCTTCAATAATCCATTATTTGTTCAGTAGCGTGTTGTTTAGTCTCCACATTTTTGCACCTTTCTCTGCTTTATTCTTGTAGCTGATTTCTAGTTTCATAGCATTATGATCAGAAAAGATGCTTGATATTATTTCAACTCTCTTGTATTTATTGATGCTTGCTTTGTTTCCCAAAATATGGTCAATCCTTGAGAATGTTCCATGCACACTTGAGAAGAATGTGTAACCTGCTGCTTTTGGATGAAGTGTTCTATATATATCTATTAAGTCCATCTGGTCTAACTTTTCATTTAATTCTATAATTTCCTTGTTGATTTTCTGTCTGGATGTTCTATCCATTGGTGTTAATGGGGTGTTGAGGTCCCCTACTATTATTGTATTGTTGTTGATGTCTTCTTTTAGTTCTGTGAAGAGTTGCTTTACAAATTTTGGTGCTCCTGTGTTGGGGGTGTATATATTTATAAGTGTTATGTCTTCTTGGTGGAGAGTCCCTTTTATCATTATATACTGTCCCTCTTTGTCTTTCTTTATCTGTTTTGCTTTGAAGTCTATTTTGACTGATATAAGTATGGCAACACCTGCTTTCTTTTGTTCATTATTAGCTTGGAGTATTGTCTTCCACCCATTCACTCTGAGTCTGTGTTTGTCTTTGGGGCTGTGGTGTGTTTCCTGGAGGCAGCATATTGTTGGGTCTTGTTCTTTGATCCACCCTGCCACTCTGTGTCTTTTGATTGGAGAGTTCAATCCATTTACATTTAGAGTGATTATTGAAATGTGGGGGCCTACCACTGCCATTTTATATCTTGTTTTCCGGTTGTCTTCAATTTCCTTTGTTTCTCATCCCATGGTTTAGTCTGTTCTGATGGAGAGCTGCTACTCTCTGTTGTTGTCCTTCTACTTATCTCCTTTGCTCTTGGTTTTGTAGCCCCTTTCCTTGTTTTGATTTTTCAGGAATGAGGGTTTTCCTGAGCATTTCTTGAAGAGGAGGTTTTGTGGCAATGAATTCCCTTAATTTTTGTTTATCTGGGAAAGTTTTTATTTCTCCATCGTATTTGAAGGATATTTTTGCTGGGTAGAGAATTCTCGGCTGCAGGTTTTTGTCCTTCAGATTTTTGAATATATCATTACACTCTCTTCTAGCTTGTAAAGTTTCTGCTGAGAAATCTGCTGATAGCCTGATGGGGGTTCCTTTGTAGGTTAATTTCTTCTGCCTGGTTGCCCTTAGTATTCTCTCCTTGTCATTGACTTTTGCTAGCGTCACTACTATATGCCTCGGCATTGGTCTTCTTGCATTAATAAAGTTTGGAGATCTATTGGCTTCTGTCACATGAAGTTCCATCTCTCTCCCCAGGTTTGGGAAGTTCT